AATTGGGGCGCTTATATATATATATATATGAGTATACCTACTCTAAAAGTTTGATTTTTATTTCTTCAAATTAGTCTTGTTTGAATCAATTTTAAATTTTTCCTTTACATTTCGATTTTTTATGAAAAGAATAAAATCTTTTTCAGAAATGATTGCCGCACACATAATTAGAACTGGGTATTTGGCGGGTCAAGTTTAGCATGGATTGGGCTTATTTGGGAGGTCGAGCTTGAGCCTGGATTCAATTTGAAAAATCATAGCCAAGCCCACCCACTCTATGGGTTCGGATAGCTCATGGGTCTTAAAATAAAATTGATTTTTGAATATATTTAAAAAAATATTTTTCAAGCCGAAACAGTTCTATTAGCTTAATATCCTTGCCACATCCATTTCCACTTCACTAAAAATGATAGTCAACAAATTATATTGCCAAACACACTAAACATACAAACTAAATCAGTCCAACTCCAATTATATAAATTTAACTTTTATATCATCATGATTTCTCTTTCAATTCATACTGCTTAAAATCATTCCTCCAACCACCTAATTTTCCATATAAAACTATCCCCATTCCTTCTTTATATAATAAATCAAACTATCACTAGTTCGTCGCACATTGTCAGCTAATCATCATCAACTTCATCCGCTAAAATTTGTCAGTTTTCAATCGTTGGTCTACTAATCCTAAGCCCACACCTTATAAGAGTCACCACATCATAAACAACAAATTCAAATACTCAATATGAGACAGGTATTCCCATTTTGCAAAGTTTATGTACAGGAAGCATAAATTCCTTTTCCTTTTTGGCAACATATGTGCAGCTTAGGTGAATTCCTGCTCTGCCGCTCAAACAACAATAATCTAGGTCTTTCCAATTCGTTCATAGTTTTCCTTCACTAAATACTTAAAATTAACAGATAAACATGTTCACCATATGCAAACAGCCATTTAAAACAGACGAGGAAAAAAAAGGCTTTTTGGAGTTCGTTTTTATTGTGAATATGAACGGTTTCAACATAAGTCAAACAATGCTTGTATCTGAGTGGAAAATAATAAATCAGAATTTTTTTCGGGCTGAGTTTGGCTATTGTGGACTTTCACTAAGGGTCTGTTTGGGGCAGCTTATTTGGTGCGGTGGCGTTTTGAAAACGCATATATGTTGTTTGGGTAAACTGCATTTTGGCAGCTTATACGTTTTGAAAACGCTGAAAGCAGCGTTTTCACATCGCACCTATCTAGGTGTGGTGGCAGCTTTCTGACATCGGTCAAGCTTTTCCAAGAAAAAAAAATTTCTAATAGCCACCGCACCTAGCTTATCAACGGATTATTTTTAATTAGATTATCAGCAGATTATTCAATGAGCTGCAGCTGCCCCAAACAGACCTTAAATCAAATGGGGTATGCCCCCTATATTTCTATTTTTTCACAATTAAGCTTGCACATTCTAAGCGGGCTTAAGGTGAGCCCGTCATGCCACCCGCCCAACGCCCAATTCAAGTAAGGAGATGGCTGTGTGATTAGATGAATAATAAATCGCCAACCATGCAGCTCATTAGTGATATACATGTGTTTTTTTTTTTTTTTTTTGAAAAATTATTGTGAAACCTAAATGCATGCAGGCTCTGTGTACAATAATATTGTACACTACTGTACAAAACTATGCAACTCTAGTCATTCGGGGCATGTCCCCCACTCGAGTCACGATAGTTTGATTGCACACTAACTAATTAAATTAGTGTCTTTAAGGCTCACCTTCAAAAAAAAAAAAAAAAAAAAAAAAAAACTTATTACAAATAAAACTTATTATTTTATTTTCGCCTTACATGAGAAGAGAAAAATAAATAAAAATATTTTTTTCAAAATTTTGAAAATTAAAAATTTAAAACTATCAATATATTCACAAGCTATAAAAAATGAAAACAAAAAAGTTAAAAAACAGCAGTAAAAGTAATTTAGTAGTGATATTAGCGTTTATTTTAAGGATGATGGTCCTTTCTAGTCGAAGATATGCTTTACATGGTGAATTTAGGCATTTCATTGAGGAAATGTGAATAGCTTTTTAGATAATAACTTGTAAGTGTAATTAGATATTTAATGATGTGATTGAGTTTTTACCAGCCCTAAAAACATCTATGGGTAAATAAAGACATTTATTAATTAAAATATAACAAATATAACATAATTAAACCAATAAATCTTTTCTTAAATATTTTCAAATATCAAAACTTGAATTAAAGATATTAAATTATAACTACAAAAATAAATATTTTACAACAAATTTATTTAACAAGTTATAAAATAAGGCCGAATTAGAGGGTTATGCAAGAAAAGGCGCATTTCACTTTTAAAAAATTTGAGTGGCATGAATGTAAATATAAAAGTTTAGATGTGATATGTAAGTAAATGGCCCAAAATATTCATAAATCTATCACTTAAATTTGAGGTATGTATTTATAGAAAAATTTAATCCAGCAACTCTGACAAAAGTACGACAGACAGTTGCTGTAAAAATTGGGGCGCTTATATACATATCACCCAATTCCTATGTATTTACATATTTAACACTTTTTTTTTCTTACATTTATATCACCAAAATATTTCATTTTATATCAAAATTTCCATTAATTTAATTTAATTTAAAAAAGAAATTCATATTTTTCATGCATAACGAAGTAATGCATGCATGTAAAAATTTCTCCAGTTGATAGATTTGTAAATACATTGTAATAAAGTGATATGCCTGTAATTATTCCAATAAAAAAAAGAAAAATTTAAGGATTTAAGGAAGGGAGCCAAATAAGCCAGGCAAATCAAGCACAAACTCATTCTCCCTCTCGGCTGGCATTTTGCTTCCGCAGCTGCGACCTTCCTCTCTTACTCCGGTTCCTTCTCTCCCTCTCTCTCTTGTTTCCTGCGATGACTTCGCCAACGGATCTCCTCTCCCCAAGCACAGCAATGTAACACTGGCTCGCTCTAATGCTCAAAATGTCATCTTTCCCAGCCCTCACATTCCCATCCCCACTTCTCATCTTCTCCAAAACTTCCTCTCTTACTCTGGTTCTTTCTCTCTCCCTCTCTCTCCTGTTTCCTGCGATGACTTCGCCAACGGATCTCCTCTCCCCAAGCACAGCAATGTAACACTGGCTCGCTCTAATGCTCAAAATGCCATCTTTCCCAGCCCTCACATTCCCATTCCTCCTCTTCCCACTTCTCATCTTCTCCAAACCTTCTCCGCCGCCACCTCTTCTACCATCAAACAACACTTCCTCCACAACACCAGAAATCTCAGCTCTTATTGCCTTCCGCGTCTCCCTCCACGACCCCCTCGGCGCCCTCTCCAACTGGAACCCCTCCTCCCCCAACGCCCCCTGCTCCTGGCACGGCGTCCTATGCTCCCCTTCCTCCCCTCACGTCACCGAGCTCCGCCTTCCCCGCCTACGTCTTTCCGGTCCCATTTCTCCCAGCCTATCCTCTCTCCCCCACCTAACCCACCTCAGCCTCCGCTACAACCTGCTCACCGGCCCCATCCCCTCTTCCTTCTCCCGTCTCCCTCACCTCCGCTCCCTCTTCCTCCAACACAACTCCCTCTCTGGCCCTTTTCCATCCAACCTCTCCGCTCTCCAAGTCTTCTCGGCCTCCGGCAACTTCCTCTCTGGACCTCTCCCTGCTTCGCTCCCCGCTAACCTCCGATTCCTCGACCTCTCCTCTAACTCCTTTTCCGGCCCCGTCCCTTCAAACCTCACTTCCTCTGCCCCTCGAATTCGATTTCTCGACCTCTCCTTCAACCGCCTCGGCGGCACCGTTCCGGCTGGGTTGAGCCAGCTCCAGTTCCTCCTTTACCTTCGTCTCGACGGCAATCTTCTCGAGGGGACGATTCCCGCCGTGCTTGCTAATTGTTCTTCCATTCTTTATCTCAGCTTGCAAAGCAACAACCTTCGTGGCATTCTTCCTGAGGCGGTGGCAGGGACACCGACTCTCCAGATTCTTTCCCTTTCACGCAACCGCCTCTCCGGCTCCATTCCTTTCTCCGTTGCCTTCAATTCATCCGCGGCCTCTTCGTCTCATCTACGAATACTGCAGTTGGGGCACAATGCATTCACTGACTTTCAGCTGGCGCAACAGGACAGTGCGCAGGCTGCAGCGTCTTCCAGTGTTCTTCAAGTACTGGACATCAAGGAGAACGATATTCATGGCCGAATCCCTCCTCGGATTTTCAATGTGTCGACATTGGCAATCTTGGATCTTTCCGGCAACTCGTTCTTCGGTCTTCTCCCACCGGACGTTGGAAAGCTATCGGCTTTGCGTGAGATGCGGATCGGAAGCAACTTATTAACCGGCCGTGTTCCTGCGGAGATTGGACAATGCGCATCAATCAGAGTGCTTGATTTGGAGTATAATCAATTTTCCGGCGAGTTTCCGTCAGTTTTGGGGACGCTTTATGGTCTGACAAATCTCTACCTCGGTGGAAACCAAATCTCTGGTCTGATTCCCGCGAGTCTTGGCAAACTTTTCAAACTGGAATCGCTTTCTTTATTTAGCAACCGTTTGAGTGGGGAGTTTCCGGATGATCTCACAAAGCTAGGGAACTTAATCTTTCTCGATTTGTCCGGCAATGTACTTTCCGGCGAGATTCCTGAAACGATCGGGAGACTGCACAAACTACAAAACTTGAATTTAAGCCACAACAGATTCTCCGGCGGTGTTCCGGCTGCGATAGGAAGCATGTCCGATTTGAGGACATTGGACCTCAGCGACCAGAAAAACCTCTCCGGCAAACTACCTGCCGAGCTCTTTGGCTTACCGAGCCTTCAGATGATTTCTTTAGCCGAAAATTCCTTCAATGGTAATGTCCCTGAAGGATTCAGTAGCCTCTGGAGCTTAGAGCAGCTGAACCTCTCATCAAATTTTTTCTCTGGTTCCATACCAGCAACCTACGGCTTTCTCCCCTCACTGCAAATTCTCTCACTTTCCAAAAACCATATTTCCAGCATAATTCCGGCCGAGCTCAGCAACTGTTCCAATCTAACCACTCTCGAGCTCCGCTCCAACTCCCTGACCGGCGCCATTCTCCCTGATCTCGCCAAACTGCCCAATTTGGCGGTACTCGACCTTGGCCAAAACGATCTTTCCGGTGAAATCCCACCAGAAATCTTACGGTGCCAGTCATTAATAACTCTCAGACTCGACGGAAATCATCTCTCCGGCGAAATACCAAGTTCATTATCCAACCTCCCCCAGCTCCATGTACTCGACCTTTCAACAAATAATTTAACAGGCATGATCCCTTCCAGTCTCATTCTCATGCCTGCTTTGCAGCATCTCAACCTATCAAACAACAATCTCCAGGGTGAAATCCTCCCAGCACTCGGCTCTCGCTTCCAAAACCCTTCCACATTCGAAGGCAACTCCGACCTCTGCGGGAAGCCATTACAAACACAATGCCCCCAAGAACGGAGAAAGAGACGGCGCAAGAAGATAGAGCGCTTGACTCTACTAATTGGCCTCGCAGCCGCCACAGCCGTCGCCCTCGCTCTCCTCTGCTTTTTCGCCGTCTTCGCTCTGCTCCGATTCCGAAAACGCTTTCTCGATGGCCGAAACGGCGTCAAAAAGCGGAGCTCTAGCCATGGAAGCGGGTCAAGCAGCAACGGCGAGAACGGCATTGGTCCCAAACTGATAATGTTCAACAACAGAATCACCTACGCCGAAACGCTGGAAGCCACAAGAAATTTCGACGAAGAGACTGTTTTAAGCCGCGGCAGACACGGGCTGGCATTCAAAGCCAGCTTCAACGATGGAGCCGTGCTGTCCATCCTCCGCCTACCTTGTTCGCCTAATGATGCATGCGCGGAAGCCGTTTTTCGCAAGGAAGTAGAGTCCCTCGCCAAGGTAAAGCACCGCAACCTCACTGTTCTCCGAGGATATTACTTCTCCCCGCCGCCGGATGCCCGGCTATTGGTCTACGACTACATGCCAAACGGCAGCCTAGCGACGCTTCTCCATGAAGCGTCCCACGAGGACGGGCACGTTCTAAACTGGCCGATGCGCCATCTCATTGCCCTCGGTATAGCCCGTGGCCTCGCCCACCTCCACACCTCCGGCATTGTTCACGGCGACCTTAAGCCTCAGAACGTTCTCTTCGATGCCGACTTTGAGCCGCACGTATCGGACTTCGGGCTTGAGCTTCTGACGGCTACACCTGCCACAGGGGCATCAACGTCAGTAGGTTACTCAGCGCCGGCTGAGTGCGGTACGAGAGAGGGTGATGTGTATAGCTTCGGGATCGTGGTGTTGGAGTTGCTGACGGGAAAGGGGCCGGGAATGTTCGCCGGAGAAGAGGAGGATATTGTGAAGTGGGTGAAGCGGCAGCTGCAGAATGGGGCGGTGGGGGAGTTACTTGTGCCGGGGTTGCTGGAGCTTGACCCGGAGTCGTCGGATTGGGAGGAATTTCTTCTGGGGGTTAAGATCGGACTTCTCTGCACGACGCCGGCCGCCGGCGACCGGCCCGCCATGGCTGACGTCGTGTTCATGTTAGAGGGCTGCAGGGTGGGGCCGGAGATACCGTCTTCAGCCGGGCCCAACACATCGCCTCCCTCCCCGTCCCCAGCATGAGATTCGAGATGACATATCCTCGTGATTCGGATCATTCCGCATTGAATGTTGTATGCTGTTGGATAAATTTAATATTTTTACAATTTTTTTGCATTATATGGGCATCCACGTCGCGGTCTGTGAGAAGGTGGGTCCTGGTGGAGCTGGGAATTCTGCTGGGAGTTTTGTAGCATTCTTTCTACCACCGGACATGGAGGGGGGAAGAGAGAAGCGGGAATGCAGAAAAAAGTAGCCGTTGGGATTTTTAGCCGACGTCAGGTTACAAGCGCGACTCTTGATGTAAGGTATGATGCAGGGGAAGCGGTGATTGCTGTTGGGACAGCTGATAATTTTTTTTCTTTTAAAAGATTTAAATTTATTTTCTATTTTCGTTTCATGTGGCGGGGGAATATTGAGGTCCAAATTTGTGCTCTTGGCGAGGAAAAAATATTATTTCAGGAGTATTGATGCATCAGTACTTCAATGAGGGGGTGCCACGTAGGCAATGGTCTCACCGTGGTGCCTACGTGACACCCCTTCATTGGAGTACTGATGCCTCAGTACTCCTGAGATGAGATTTGGGTGTGCATGTGAAGTCTGGGTGGCCTTGGGCTATGAGAGGTGAGCTTTCAGAGAGAGTACAGGTAGCGTTTAAGTAGCGTTTAATGATTTTTTATTTTTATTTTTTGTGATGGAGGAAAAAGGTTTGGGATGGTTAATTGAAGCTTTAATGCTCTAATAAAAAAAATTAGTAGGTACATTATTTATGGAAAAGCTACTAAACTTCTATACTAATAAAAAGATTTTATTTATTTATAAATAAAAAAAACCTGTCACGTAAGTATTACTGATTTTAAAAATGGGACGGACTGTGTTGACCGGTTCAACTATGAATTAATGTTAGAATTGACGTTGAATTTGTTTGAACTTGGGTTGAATCGATGAATCGATCTAGTTTCTAGAAAATTAGCATGTTTAAATATTGTTCAATTTTAGCCCTTTGATTTTGATAGTTGATGTGTGCCTGAAAATTCGTGGTTGTAGAGTAATGAATTATCATATTAACATTACATGAGAATTCAATACATACCCAGATAAAAGAGAATAATTAACAATGAGATCAGAAGTTTTTTTTTTTACATGAAATCCCATAAAGGGAAAAAATCACTTGGTTAGACCCAGTTGTAAAAATTCACTATAAGTTGATGATTGCAGAGACTCCTTGTCTCTCAGATGAGAAATTAGTGTTAGGTTTTCCAAGTTACAATGTCAACTAAAGACTGTCGGTCGGTGATAGTTTGGTGATGGTTAACGGGGACAGTAGTGCTTGACGACGGTAAGTGGTTGTCGGCGGCAGTTGGTGGTGATTGACGACGGTCGATGGGTGACAACGATGATCGGCGTTTGTCGATGGTGGTAGACGGTTGGTGGTTGTCGGCGACAATTGGTGGTGTTGAAAACGGTCGATGGGTGACAACGACGATCGACGTTTGTCAATGGTGGTCGACAATGATCGACGGTGCAAGGACTTCAACTCATTCTCAAAGCTTTAAGTTTTGTCTCATGCCTCAAGCCCTCTTCTCATGAGATGGGTGGGGCTCTATTTATAGTGTTCAAAGTGCAATTAATGTAGGAATATGAACTACTTTGATCAAATAATACGAAAAGATTCTTTCGGTCAGACGACATTTGATGTACATTTTAGTGTCCTAACGATGTTGGAACTGAGCAATCTTGGGCTCGTTGGATTCGTCTTGTCAAGAAGCTCGATCTAATTATAGGTTTGCCAGATTTGACATTCATTTAGCCTTATGATGATGTCCTAAAAACTTCTAAGAGTGGTTTAATTACTTGATCTGAGCTTGATTTGACTCGAATTGGACTAAATGTGATAACATTGGGTTCTTGCCGGTCAATTTGACTATAAGTTTGTTAAAAACAACGTTCTAGATGAATTTTTATTGATGTTTGAATTTTTTTTCCTCAAAAAATCGCCTCAAGATCTATGTAATGCCTTAAAGTTTGTGTCAAATAATAAAAAATTTGTTGGAGATATATCAATAGTGATGCAGCTCTCACAAGCTCTCACACTGTTGGACGCAATTCTTCCCGACTTGGTCCAAGCAGATATCTACCTTCCTTATATAGCCTTTATTATTTGTAGTTTCTATGTTTTCCTTATTTGCTTACAACTGTTTAGTTACTTTTCTTAATTACTTCTCAAGGGTGTGGTACCCTTTATTTAGTTACAGCCACTCTTTGCATTTTCTCTATAGAAGAGTGGAGGCAGGAGTTTAGAGCAGAAAATTTACTCTTTATTGTTGGAATTACTGAAATTTTCTTAATCCTTCTTCCTCTGGCCGGTCTTCTGCTAGTTTCTTGTTTGTTCAATTAAGCTCAACTTCAGATTGATATCAGATTCAGGAATGGTGGATAGCACCAGGACCTCGATGCACGACGATGATACTAGTCGGGAGCTATTATGGGAAATCACAGGTACATCTCGAACGGCGGGTCGACACCCTCGTTTCCAATTTCCAACTTTTTATCACAAAAATGTTACCCGTCAACCACATTGGTTATCTCAGCACCCGCACTACTGATTGGAGACACCAATAGAGGGACTCGCGATTGATAATGAATCACTTCCACAACACAACCAACCTCTGAGTTTGGAGCAAGCCCGTATCGACGACATACTACTACAGTCACAAAACTCGCTTTTCCAATTCCAATTCTGATGACGACAACCTACTAGGTGAAATTTCAAATCAAAGTCGCCCAAGTCGGTGTCTTATTTACAATGACTATAAAGCTAAGATTGATATTCTTTACCTTGATGGCCATCTTCATATTAAAGATTGCTTGGATTGGTAGCAGACCGTGGAAGCATTCTTTGGGTATAGGGATGTAGATATCAAAAACAAGTTCTCTACGTTGCTTGTAGATCAAAAGGCCGAGTAGGTGCATGGTGACAACAATTAGTGCAATCTCAATGGAAGAAAGAAGTCCAATTAAAAGTTGGGCCCGATTGAAACTGCGCTTACAAACACTTTTTACCTTCCGATTATGAGCAAATTCTATATGTGCAATTCTAGAGATGCACACAAGGAAACCATTCTTTTAGTTCTTACATGGAAGCATTTCACCGTCTTAGTGCCCGTAATGATCTCCATGGGTTTAATCAACAAATTAATCTAATCAACAAATTGTGGCTCAATATATTGGAGGATTAAAAGAGGCAATACAAGACAAATTGAAAATGAATGTTGTCCGGTCACTCTCACAAGCTATAAACTATGCTTACAAAGCTGAATTCAAGTTAAATCAGACTCCACGTCCATTTAGCCAATGCAAATCGTTCGCATATAGTTCTCTAGATGGAGGTAAAGGATTATACCAAAATGTTCAAAGTGCCCCTGCCCCCTTGGCTAATTCAATTTATACTTCGAGCGGAAGGGATGCTAATATTACTAATAAACTAACAACTCATAAAATTCATTTATATCAATGACTGGTACTTATCAAATGTTTCAGATGTTTTCAACCTAACCACTATTCCAATGAATGTCCTAACCGAAGACAGGTTCAGCTATCCACAGGAGAACTGGATAGTGGCGATGGAGATTGTGAGCAAAATCCTTTTGAAGGGGCTGATGTGGCTGATGAAGATGTCTTCTTAAATTGTGTCCTACATAAGGTATTGCCTGCTCCGAAGCAACCTATTAAGTTCCAACGTAATGCTATTTTTTGGATTAGGTGCACTATTGAAGGTAAAGTGTGCGATCTAATTGTAGACAACGGGTGTACCAAGAATGTGATCTCCAAAGCGGCGGTAAAAGCTCTCAAACTAAAGAGAATTAAACATCTCAATCCTTACAAAATTAGTTGGATTAAATTAGGAAATAACGTGACGGTGGTAGAGTTGTCTCAAGTTACTTTCTCTATTGGGATGAATTGTAGTTGTGAAGTCTCTTGTGCGTCACTCACTGTGATGGATGTTTGTCACGTGATTCTGGGTAGACCTTAGCAATTAGATTTGTGTGTTTGATATGATGGGCAATCAAATGTCTACACATTTGAGTGGAATAAAAAGAAACATCGGCTACTACCTTCCCATCACATTCAAGCATCTCATACAAAAGATAAATCAACCTATCTAGTTGTCTCGAACTCTCAGTAGCTGACGAAATGCATTAACCGTGAGGTGGCTTATGTTTTTTTTTTTTTTTGTTGAACCAAATTCTACTGCACCTCATTTACATCTATTAACTCAATCTCTCATCCACGATTTTTTTGGCACCACATTTGGTGTCTTATTGGATCAACTACCTCCATTGAGATCAATTCAACATCATATCAATTTAATTCTTGGATCTAATTTACCGAATCTTGCTCATTACCGCATGAGTCCCAAAGAACACCAAAAACTACAAAAAATTGTAGATGACTTATAAAAAAGAACTTCTTCCGCCATAGCTCTAGTCCTTGTGTTGTACCGACTTTGATCGTGCCCAAGAAAGACAGATCCTGAAGAATGTGTATAGAAAGTCACACCATCAACAAAATCATGTTAAAATTTTAATTTCCCATGCAGGAGCACATTAGACATCCACTCCCACCCTCGCTCCCACACCCACCCTCACCCTTACCTCAACCTTGCAGGAGCTAAAATTTTATCTGAATCAGACTTGAGGAGTGGGTACAACCAAATCTATCTCCATCCAGGTGACGAATGGAAAACAACATTCAATACTAGGGAAGGGCAAGTGAAGCTTTTTGGTTTCTGCAATACATCCGTTACTTTCATGAGGCAAATGCAGTACCCACTTGGGCATTGGAGGTCTTTTATCTAGGCATCATTAACTAATTTCAACAAGCCAGTTTTATAAAATTGAAGAAACATCTAAATATTGATCATATAATAGGGATTCTAGAATTCGAGAAACAATTTCAGGTAGAACTGATGCTTTGACAATTTGGATTGGAGCACTTTTATCTCAAGGAGCGAAACCAGTGGAATTCTTTAGGGAAAAAATTGAACACAACACGTCAAAAAGCGGTCCACCTATGACAAGAATTATATGCAGTTATCAAGGATTTAAGGAATTGGGAGAATCCATAGATTTATTCTTCAATTACACACATAACATATAATTCTTATTTATATAATATAATACTTTTCATGAATATTACATATATATAAAGCTATATATATATATATATATATATATATATCAAACAATTTTATCAACTTTTTGTATAAGACTATAAAGATACATAAAAAGTAGTGAATTCTCTTTCCAACAACATGAAATGCATAAAAAAAATTATAAAATATGAACAGAAGAGTATTTCAGGTATTTATCCACATAAAATACTTTTAATTTTTTTCTTAGACAAATAAACCGTTTCTAGAACACCAACTGTTAAACCACAACTTTTCCACAACACTTTTTAAACTGAGAATTCATATAGTCAGAGCCCAAACAAATACAGCCTAAGACTTTGATAACTTAGAGGCACTAGTCCGCAACAAAGTCTTCAAACTTAACAACATCTAGGTTGGCAAAGAGATTAAAAATTGAATCTGTTGTTATGTTATTATTATTAGTATTATTTATTTTTTAAACAGACAAACTGTTCTCTGGTGCATGTAAATTCCCCTAATAAAAATTTATATGTTAAATGTGTAAATATTTATATATTGTGTAACAGTGTTATGTAAGTTTATTATTATTTTCTTTTTCTAAATTTCTTAAATTTCATATTTGATTGGATGTGCTCCTTCAAGCTTCAATATCGTCGAAGCTTCCTCCACCCCCACCGCTTCTCCAACTAACCCATCTTCTCTCTAACTCCCCTCTACCGCACCGAGCGATAATCTTGATTCTTGCCATGTGAACCCCTAACCTTAGTTCAACCAACGGAGTTCTCCCCATGACGAGATTCCAGCTCCACCTTGGCTTCCTTTTCTCTTCGCCTCTCTCACGCCGCGCCCCCGTGGATGTGGTTGAGGACGAAGACATCGAGACCGAGAGCGAGGGCGAGAGCGAGTGTGGCGACGATCTAATATCATCCCCGACGATCATAAAACCCACGGAGAAGAGAAATAGAGAACGACAGGAACGCCAGTTCTCCATAGGGGCGATGGCGACGGCGGCGTTGCGGAGGTCTGCTGCGATTTGTAGCGTTGGAACCGGCGAGGTAGGGGCTGGCACTTGCATGGACATCGGCTGGCCTTCAGATGTTCAACACATCTCCCATGTGACTTTCGATAGGTTCGATGGGTTTCTTGGTTTGCCTGTGGAGTTCCAGCTCCATATCCCTTGCAAAGCTCCCAGCGCCAGGTGCGTTTATGCTGCGTTCTTTCCCAAATGAAGAGCATGGTCATACAAACTGATGTCTGCGTTCACTTATCTATTTCTTTTATTTTTTTTCTCATTATATTTGCTTGTGTTCCGATCATTTAAATTTGTATATTATTGTCGGATAATTGGTAAATTGACGATTTCTAATAATTAGATTGCTCAAATTTCTAGGTTAGAAGGTAGATGAGTCACATGCGTTTAGAATACATTATTCTGAGTGGGTTCTGTTATTCAAAATGAGTTTGAAAAAATTAATTCAACATAGCGAATTAAAGTTTTGATAAGAGGAGTTTGATTTTGGGTGAAATGAAAAGGCTTTTAAGGCATTCAATCTTGCCGTTTACCGGGTGCTCTTGTTAATGGCCCCCTTATTGTTAGCAGGGAGCATTCTTAAAACGCCAGGTTTATTTATGCCTAAAAGTTTAGCTTTTTGGTTCCTGCAATTTTTGAATTTATACATGTTATTTCTTCTTATTGGACAACGTTGTCTTTATTATCTTTTTTTTCTGGCTTTTTTAGCTTTAAACCGTTGAGCTCTTACTTTTTAATGATTTGCTTTATTTTTATTTTTTGACGATCTCATATAATTTTTATTGACATATGATTTGTTACAAGAGTTAAATTGACATACATTAAGCAAATAAAATTTGTATCGAACTTATATTGAATTTATCAAAGAATGTCTGTTGGAGCATGGACTATCATTATATAATTGCTATTGGTATCAGTGTTATACTTATATCTTTTTGCATTGATTGTGGAAGTCCTAATAATGAGTGTATAAAAAGAGTGATGCTTTGAGAGGATAGGGGCGTCAACTGCGGTTAACATTTTGGGTTTTGGGTCTAACTAGAATTTTACCTGTAAGAATATGCATGACCTGAACCTAACCCATCTATTAAACATGTCAGAATGTCTAATTGAACTCGATTCGCCTTCAACCAGACAGAATCAAATCTAACTCATGTAACTCATTTATTTGAGTGAAATTTAGGTTGGTGGGTCAATTTTGGATCACTTTCAAGTTGATCAGTCAATTTTAGGTTGGTGGCCAACTTGATCCCCGCACAAAAATTAATTTGGCCAAGGTTATAGACCTAAACCTGACCCATAAATTAATCGGTTAAACTTAAACCTGAATTTTTCTAATTAGGTTCCAATTGACTTGTTATGTGGGGTCGATTTTTTACACCCCTACTTTAAGAATATTTTATTTAGCTATCACTATAACTGTTGGTGAGGCCTTTGTCAGTATAAATGCAAATTTGTTATTACTTCATTTTGTAATTTTTTTTTTTTTTCTCCCCATACTCCAACAAATAAACCATCACCAAAGCTGCACACCCTTTATGGGTCAAGAAAGAAATGTTTTTTTCAAAATGTTGTTTTGAAAATGTTGTTTTTTTTCTGGAAAGACCATTAAAGACGGCTCTCAAAACAACTTTATAGATATTATCTTCTCAACTTCTTTTATTGAAAGGAGAATCCAAACCAAACAAGCTCAGAGGCTGAGTCTAAGGTGTGCAATTTTTTTAGGTTACGTAATTTGCAATTGTATGAAATTTTGTTAGAAATCCAGTAATACATAAGTGTGATATCCTTGAATATTAGGAATCAATCATATAAAAGAAATACAAATATAGATGTTGATTTAATTTCCTGAGTCATACAATTAACTTGAATTTCCTATATAGATTTGATTATAAAAATTGTGAACATTTATAGGTATACTTGGCAAAACCATCATTATAGATCATCTATGTTACTTTGATTTGAGTGCCTTTTATCCAAGAAATCACAAATCACCAATTTTAGTGCGGTCAAAATGAATATGTTAAGATTTATATGTGGCAAAATTAGAAAATGCCTTGATAAATGATTATATGGGAATGACAATGGTTGTGGCCTTGTTGAAGGCAAAATAGTAGAAACTAGACCATTGCTATTTGGTAATGTATCATGAGTATATAAACTTATGATGCATGGATTAGGAAAGAGAAGGAACAGATTAACTCAGCAAAATTAACATTGTTAATTGTTATGTAAGAAGATTTTATGTAAAAAAAATATTGAGTAAGATTGATTGGAGAATGAGGTTTTATTAGTCTGTTCCTAAATAATTGAGATAATGTTAATGATATATATAGTACTTTTGCTCTTTTACCATCAAAATGTTGTGCCTTCCCTATATTAACATATGTAAATAATGGTTATGTAAGGCCGGTTCCTTCCTAATTGGACACAAGTGATAGGGGACATTTGATGTAATGTGTTTTTAGCCTTTTAATCTTGGCATCTAATTTGATCTTGATTTGATTAATATTTTAGAATTATTTGGTAGTTTTCCGGTATAAATTAATTTGTGTTGTTCAGGTAATGGTATCTGGCCCCATCTTTGCCTAGTTGCAGAGACTTCTAGAAGTCACTTTTATCATTCTTTGTTTTAGAATTTTATGGAATCTAGCTTAGATTCGAGTTGGCTTAAAATATTTGGATGTAGGCTCTTAATTTAGTTTGTTTTAGCTTAATTTATTGAGCTACCTATGATTCCACTTTTTAAATTGTAAAATGATTTAGCTTTATGCGCCAATATGCTCTAGGATTACAACTATAAGTAATAAACTTGAGATGATTAGGGAAATATTCTAAGAATGTATTTTTGCTTGAAATTTCATTTTTTTTCTCAGCCCACACCAAATTCTCTTGCCGTGTTGTCATCATGAAAACCCAACTTTAGAATCATTTTGCATTCTTCCCTATATTGATCTAGCATAAATCCTTAATACAGATGGGATCTATGGCAATCCTCTTTGGATGAATGTTTATATTTTTCTACTTATTGGAGTTCCTAAATAGCCTTATTTCTAGCATCCACAGGCTCGTATAGATGCTAACTTAGGTCTTCTTTTCCATATCTCTTAAATAATTTAATTAAGTTCTCAGAACATTTTTATCAACTTGCTCAACTTTTTGAAAGTGGAATAAGGGTTCTACAGTACTTCTTTACATTGGCATACATAAATGAGATAGGCTAAATTCGTAATCTTGAAAGAGGTAATTTGATTTGGAGTGGGAGGCCAATAAACCGTCCAATCTGTAATCCTATGTGGAGAATAAGGGTTCTGTAGTTCTTGATTTCGGTGATGTATTTAAAATTTGAATTTGTGAAGTGGTGCTCTTGATAAGTGCAAGCTAGTAATTGGAGTTTGGGTTTTAGGAGGAACTTACATGGTTTTTTCTTCTTGATTGATAGATCTTGGTTTTGAGAAGATCATAGTTGTTCATCACACTTTAATTGTGAGATTAATGCCTTGCTTTTGAAGTAGCCGACTAGGGTTGCTCTTCTTAGGGAGAAACTAGCCTTTTATTCCTATGCTTCAAAAGTGGAATAGAACCTAAAGTCCCAATTTTGTAAAGATGAAATTGTTGTTGGAGTTCATATTAGTTGGGAGGAAGAGTAAAGAGAGAGAGTTTTAGGTTTTTATATAGTTCTATTATGAGTTGTAGAAAACCATGCTATAGCTATCAGTAATTCACATGTCATAAAATCTTTTTTTTTATAAATCAATTAATCATTTCTTCTATTGAAAATTGAAAACATGAAAGAAATTACCTTAAATGAATATCTAATAATCTGCTTATTTATGTGCCATTCAATATATTGCAATAATTACTCTCAAATCAATAACATAGTATAGTGTAAAAAAATGGAGGAATGGCTCGATGCTTGATTTGTTTATCATGCACTTACAGGGTTTATATATATACATAGATCAGCTTAAATTATATTAGGAGTCTATACAAATTCAGGAAGAGTAATAATCACATTAATTTGAAATTTTAGAAGGAGCAGTCATGGCTAGTTTGTGCTATCCAATTCACTTTCATGCTGCTTCCAACTAATCAATTCTTGGGATCCTTCCTTTGATGTTATTGTTAAATCCATGTGGTGCTTGTTGCCATTCCTCCTGTTTGTATCCAACCGACATTCTTTTCTTGCATTTTTTAATTCTCAGCCTCAAATTGATTGATGAAAATCTACCACTCTCAAATTGCTTGATTTGCCAACCCCTCTATCGGAAATCCCTAATACAAACCCCCATCGAAATCTTAGGGGAGGTTTTTGATTGCGGATGATTTTCTCTTGCTTCTCTCGTTCGGTCTCTTTCCC